GAATCTCGGGCAAGTATCGTACCGCTAGACAAAGGGAATTGTATACGGGATTGATTGAATCCTTGACATCGTGGTTCATCCGATGAGATCATCGTGGAGCATGTGGGAGCCAACATGTGTATCCAGATCCTGCTGTTGGTTATTGACTGGAGAGTTGTCTCGGCCATGTATGCATGACTCCCGAGCCCGTAGGGTCTACACACTTAAGGTTCGATGACGCTAGGGTTATAGGGAATATATATACATGGTTACCGAATGTTGTTCAGAGTCTCGGATGAGATCCCGGACGTCACGAGGAGTTCCGGAATGGTCCGGAGGTAAAGATTGATATATAGGAAGTACGGTTTTGGCCACCGAAACTGTTCTGGGCATCACCGGTAGTGTATCGGGACCACCGGAGGGGTCCGGGGTCCACCGGGAGGGGCCACGGGCCCCGGAGGCATACATGGGCCAAGTGTGAGAAGGGACCAGCCCCTAGGTGGGCTGGGGCGCCTCCCCACCAAGGCCCGTGCGCCTAGAGAGAAGAAGGGGCAAACCCTAAGGGCAGATGGGCCCTAAGGCCCATGCCTGGTGCGCCTCCCTCTCCCCCCACTTGGCCGCCACCCCAGATGGGGATTGGGGCTGCCGCCACCCCTAGGGTGGAAACCCTAGGTGGGGGGCGCAGCCCTCCCTCTCCCCCTATATATAGTGGAGGCAAAGGGGCAGCCCAACACACCAAAGTCTTGGCGCAACCCTCCCCCTCTCCCAAGTCCTCCTCCTCTCCCGCGGTGCTTGGCGAAGCCCTGCGGGATTGCCATGCTCCTTCTTCACCACCACGCTGTCGTGTTGCTGCTGGACGGAGTCTTCCCCAACCTCTCCTTCTCCCCTTGCTGGATCAAGGCGTAGGAGACGTCACCGGGCTGCACGTGTGTTGAACGCGGAGGCGTCGTGGTTCGGCGCTTAGATCGGAATCAACCGCGATCTGAATCGCTACGAGTACGACTCCTTCATCCGCGTTCTTGCAACGCTTCCGCTTAGCGATCTACAAGGGTATGTAGATGCACTCTCCTTCCTCTTGTTGCTAGATTACTCCATAGATTGATCTTGGTGATGCATAGAAAATTTTAAATTTCTGCTACGATCCCCAACACCGGCGTCCTCGTATCCCTGTACCGCCGGCACACGTTCGCCGCGAGGTACTTCCAGTCGCCCTCGCCGGTGGGCGTAGGGTTGATGGCAAAGGGGGCCGGCGCGGGGGCTCAACGGGAGGAGCGCGGCGGTGACGCGGGCTCCTCCTTCTTCACGGAGCTGCGGTGGCGCCCCAAGGAGGAGCCGGCCTCACGGTCGTCCTTCCCCTTGCGGTTACAGAAGCCCATGGCTTCGAGGTGGCCGGCCGGCGAGCTCGAGGACAAGGGAGGGCTAGAGTTTGGCGCTGTCGGGTTTCGAGAAGGCCGCGGGATGGCGTGGGGTAGTGTGGATGACGACCGGTCCACGGTTCCTACTTAAAGAAGGACGGCGACCTTTCGATGTGCGGATGACAGGTGGAGCCGCCCGCTCGTGCGCATTGATGTGGGCGGGTGGGAGGTCGGTGGCCGCCTGCCACGCGGCCCCGACGCTGACGAGGCGCGCGTTCGTTTGGTGTGCGCCGCGACCCAAACCCGGCGCAAGTTTACTCTCGAAATGGGTCGGTCCGAACACAAAACGGACAAGATGGGTTCGGGTCATCACACGCTGAGCTGCCTCGTTTGTCCTTTTTACCCAGACGGACAGGGCCGGACAGGATGGGGCGGCGCGGTGGAGTTGGCCTCGACCGCGTGACCCATTTCTACCCCAAATCGTCCGTTTATGTCCGTTTGGGGTAAAACGGACAAATCAAACGACCCAGCAAATGGGAGCATGCAGACGTTTTGTCCGGCCCGTGTCCGCTTTTGCCCCATTTCCAGACCAAAGTTGCTCTCGGTTTGGGGCCAAAGCGGACGTCTTCGCGTCCTCGTCGTTCGTCTGTGTCCGCCTCGACCCCACATGTCACTCTCTCCTTTTCTGTACCTGGCCCATCACGTGCACCCACGACCACGACGTATGGGGTGAAAATAGGGTAGTAGCGCTGCGTGCAGCGAGTTTGTGCGGCCTCTGTCCGGCGTTTGTTCTCCCTATTTCTACCCCGTACGAATAAAATCTGGACAAAATGGGTATAGATTTAGGGTCGTGCGGTGGAGTTGGCCTTACTACTCGGTAGGGAGAGTCGCAGCTCCTCTCATGAAGCAAAAGGAATCTTGATTTCACAATCCAAGCATTGCTTGCTCCACTGTTCTCTTTTCCCACGTATATCCACGAGAGGAGCTGCGCGGCAGTGTGGCAGCCAACTTTGCCACACAACTTTAATGTCAACCTTGCTTCTGCTAGTAGGCAAACCACGGGGAAGATGGAGAGTAGTCTCCTAGGCCTCGGTCAGTTGCCCCAGCTGCTTGCCTCTTTGAGCTCACACAGCTGCGCTCCTCCAAGAGGTTCTCTCTGCCTGCCTTATTCAAAGTTAGGCATGCCTGGCCTTCTGTCCGTCACACCCCGGCCGGCCCGTGATGATCAACGCGCTCGGAGGAATTTTGCAGCGGTAGCAAAATCTTTGCTGCTCAGAGCCTGTGAATCTTGCCGTCCCTTCAGATCTTTGCTCCTTTTGACTTGCTCTCGAGAACATAGAAAGCGGAATTTTTGAAAGTGACACTGTTCTTTGTCCGCTTGCCCCATTTTCACTGGTAGGCACCAGCAGGAAAGGAAAAAGGGGGGACTATACATAAAAATAAAAAACATTCTTCACACTCTGAAGACGATGCACAAAGGACAGTCGAAATAATTACTTTTGTTGCGATGCAACGAGACCGTTTGCACAGCGGGAATTCCTTGTTCTCCCCCTGACGCGATGCGCGACGAAGGCTCCAAAACCGCGAAAAAAATTGGTTTTGGTTGTCCTGCTGGAGCTGGACGTAACGGGGACGCGAGCATGGGCTCATTCCTGCCCACCGTCCGCGTGAGGCCACGGCCGCCGGATGCCGTGCTAGCGCCATGTTTTTTACCGGGAGGAAGTGATTTCATTGCCGCTCCATTCTGCCTTTCTTCAACGGCGAGCTTGCTAGCTAGCTAGTAACTGGCAGCGTCGATTGATTTGACGCGAGCATGACATCTTGGATGGCTGCGTGCAGCCTAGCATGCGATTTGATTCGAGTAGCTGCTGCTAGTTCACACGGCCCCCGAAGATACAACTCCGAGCTAGCTTAGCTAGGTTTTCGTTTAGCTGCATGGAGCCGGCGAGCACAGCACAGCACGGCACAGCGAAGCACAGGCACTGCGCTACGTTACGCTACGTTACGTGAGCTCATCACTGCTCACACGCATTAATAAACCGACCCAGACCCAGACGTGCATTGCATTGCATGGCTAGCCACACCACGCATCGACCGGGCTGAACCTAAACCATGCATGGGCACACTGACACGGATGACCCTCGCAAGAGTGCTCATCTGCACAGGACGAGCATGACACGAAACGTAGCCTATGCGTACGGCGATGGCGCCGCGCACGGAGCACCAAACCTGCATGCCCATCCCGCCCACCCCCACATCAGCCTTCAGCCCGTTGCATCCGTCGTCCGGGTGCAGGGCTAGCTAGCTACCTCTGTAGCCTATGCGTGCGTGGCCAAACAAGGGAAAAAAGGCCGGGGCGGGCGCCGGCGAAACGAGTAAACCGGTGCGGGAACCAACAAGGCCTGATGAGCGATGCGTGACATGATTTGCCAAGGGAAGAGAATCCTGCGCCGAGAGATACTGCCACTGTGGGCATCCGTTTCCCCCGGCCCCCACTCGTAGCACGTCGTACATATACATATACGTACGTACGTACGCTGGCACTGTTGCGCCCACCCGCTGTCTCTCTGACCGACCAGCGCGCCACACATGACGAACGCACGTCGCTGTCCCCCCGGTGGCGGAGTCAAAGGCTTTGGCCGGAGCCGTGGCCTCGGCCGCGTCTCATTCATTGTGGCGAGGCGTGGTCACTGCCCTCGGCTTGGCCCGTGGGAGGGAGGTGTCGTAGGGTTCAGGTGGTAAAACGGACGGGGTATGGCATGGACGGGGATCTGGGCCTGGACCGGTGCATCTGGTTTGTCCCCTTCCGTTTGGTGCTCGCTCGCATGCACACTTGCAGCAGCACTTCAGTGAACTGTTGCTGCTGCTTCTTTTTTTTGGTGCGTGTGTGTGAACGAACTTGGTGTTCCTTTAAACTGCTGGCCTCGCTCTGAGAAGAAACAACTGCGGTTTTAGCTAAGTTTGTGTAAGAATATACTCCTAGATTGTTGTCTTAGCACGAATAACATGCATGTGTGAGTGACACATCTAGGAGCTCTCGTTATTAGTAGAATGCAAAATAAAATAAAAAACAAGGTGTTCGGAGAGCGGAGAAAGAAAGAGATACAGAGAGAGAGAGAGATAGATGTTGACTGGGCGATATAGCAGTAGATCCACATTGGGCAGGGAGGTGGTGGTACTCTATAATGGAGCAGCAGTTGTCTTTTCCCTCGTAAAGAAACTTTGCAAAGCATGGCAGGGCGCTCTCCCTCTCTCTGTCTCTGGTATACAGTGGCAGTACAATGTCTGGACTCAATAAATCATGCTAATGATAGTAATGATAGGTATGACCAGTGCTCGTTTAATCCTAGACAGACGCAACCATAATTACACAGCCCCTGCAGTACGCAGACAGGCCATCTAGCTAGGCTCTACCTCTAGCCATGCAAGGCAAGGGAGCGGCCACGGAGGAGCACAGCACAGGCAAGAAACCAAGGGGTAGAGCGGCGCCAAGGCCAACCAAGCTCCCACCACGTACCACTATAAAGTCCTACTCCAGCCTTCTTGTCTTTTGCCATTCCAAGGTAGAAGAACAAGGGCAGCTTCGAGAGGGAGGCGGCAGTGGAGAAAGGAGGAGGGACGGTGATCTAAAGGAAGCAGCCGCTCCTTGCCACCGCCAGACCAGAGATGGGGAGCAGCGGCAAGAAGCAGGAAGCCGTGAGGCGGTACGTCAGATCCCGGGCTCCCAGGATGCAATGGACGGCCGAGCTCCACCGTAGCTTCCTGCAGGCCATAGAGTGCCTCGGCGGAGAGCACAGTGAGTTCCTTCCCCTCTTCTTCTCCTTCTTCTTCTTCCTCACACATATTCCTTCCCAAAAGATTTGCCTTCATTTTCCTCGTTCTTTCGTTTGTGCTTCCCCGTACCCACTTTTTCTTCTCGTTTTGCGCCGGTTGTCTGCTGTGTTTGCACATGAATGATGAATCTAGTTTCTCGCCATGTCTGTGCTGTTACTAGTTTTGCACTAGCCAGGTTCCTTGTAGCTGCCGGATTGCTTGTTTGTCTCCTTTTAATCTCTTTAGAATCCCGACTAATTGTGACCTGGGCCTTGTTAATTTCAGATGCTACCCCTAAGCTGGTTCTTCAGGTCATGGGTGTGAAGGAGCTTACCATATCTCACGTCAAGAGCCATCTCCAGGTTATTTTCTTCAGTCAACCTGCACCCATCGATCACTCTTGCAATTGTCTTGTGTTAATCTTATTCTTCCTTCGGAGGAGCCTGCAAAATAATGCAGTACGAGTCTGACTTCTCCCCGTTTGTTTCTTGTACTGAACAGATGTACAGAGGCCCGAGCACTCGTAAGGCGAAGAAAGGTGAGAGATAAAGCTCTGCCATTTTCATTTTCATGCATCTTTCTTTACATTTTTTAGTCACAAATCTTTCTTTACTTAATCAGCCATGGAAGTCCTAGGTTTTATCTCTTGTCCCTGTATATTCATGTTAGAAATTAGTCTGTCGACGCTTTTTTAGCTTAGTTCCACTGCTTCTTTACAATCTTTAGAAGCAAAGTTCACCTCCAAAACAGTACTAGTCCTGTAGAATATTACACCACACAAATAGTTCTATTAGTAGTGTTCATTTTCTTAATTAAACATCAGATCAGATCGCCTCAAGGTCTGCGTGAGGCAACTCATTCGGTACTCATTGTGGCATGCATGCTTATCACACTCGGCAACTAACCACTCATCGCTTCATCATGCATGCAGTGCAAATGCTCTGCTCCAAAAGCCAGAAACAGAAAAAAGTTAATCCGCATGAGATTTGTTTCCCTGTGCACACTTTAGATGTTGCTAATGGAAAGCCAAACCCCTTTCTTTCTTTCTTTCAGAGACGGAGCCACAGCTGCTGCAAAGGAGGCACTCATGCGCCGCTGATGAGCAGCAAGGAGGAGGAGGCCCCAATGCGCCCTTCATGTGCCCACCTCTGAAAAGGTTTGTGCTAGCTGCAACTTTTTCAAACTTTGAAACTGGGATGCGTTCAAGTTAAAAAGACAAAGCCTTTTGGTGGCCTAATCTTGACAAGAGAGCGCCTTTTCCTTGGGGTCTTTGAAAACGCAGGGCCAGGACGACGGGGACAGAGGCCGCGGACAAAGGCATGCAAGGAGGCCAAAGCCAAGGAATCAGTGGGACGAAGACCAGCGGCGCTGTCAACCGGTACTGCATTGATGATTACTACTCCATGCAAGCCATGGCCATGGAGAGGAGAATAATGGAGGGCCTCAGCTGTCAGAGGGATGCTGCTGCTGCTGTTTCCAGCCTCCGGACCGTGGGATGCTTGGAGCAAGGATCCGGCGACTTTAAGGTACGCATCCGCTGCAAAAGTAGCCACGGTAAACATTGGGAAAGTTGATCTGAAGAAGAAATATCTTCTTTTGTCATGAATTATTTGCTTTCATCTCCCTTACTATTACTTGCTCACACACAAATTGTTTTGTTGAGTATCTGATCTAGCTGAGCTCCTACGTAGCCATTTTGCATCTGCCAAATGTCCCTAGCATTGGTCAGCAGAGTTTAGAATATTTTAACTGGGTCGCATGGTGCAATGTCATGGCCATACTACCATCCAATCCACTATGCTGCTGCATCTTGTGGTAGTTGTGCTATGAGGGAGCTGGAATGTCCTGATTGACCGATGCACAATCTTTATCGTCCTATCAGGACTGTTGTATATCACTGTAGACGTTGTATAGTTGCCGGTGCGTGTATCTGCCTGCATATGCACACCCCAGATAGCTAGGCTTGTGAACACCGTATTTGTACAAGGACAATGTAGGCCACCTTTGCACTTGCAGTAGAGACAATGTAGCCCGCGTTGCACTTGCAGTAATGGCATTTGATTTGCATTGTTCACTCCTGAATCCTAGCACAGCTGTACCCGTCGGCATTCATGAAGATTATAGTGCGGGTAGAATTACGTACAACGTTATAGCTTTTCTGGTGGTTTGCTCTGACTGGAAATTTCAGAAAACTGCACGTCACTTAGCTTCTCTGAAACACATAAGGCCACACATAAATAGTGTACTAGCTCAGATACATGTGGTTTTACTGAAGCTAGGAAATTAGATATCGTCCAACAGTGTCAAATCTGAATGGCATGGTTGCATCACGCCAAGGAAATAAATTTGAGAGTTACACACAGCAGGACTACTTATCTCTAAGCCGTAGCTGCCATCAATGGATGCAGGAATTTACCGCTTGACTGCAACCTTGCATTTGTTTTCAGCAGATAATCAAGCCAGAAGCACACTACTACCCTGGTCTTGCAGTGAAGAAGCAAGACCCCAAGGAGAAGCCCAAGGAGAAGGACAGCAACGGGGCGGAGCAGTGCTCCCTGTCGCTGTCCCTTGGCCCGGACCCGAGATGCCTCCGCGCTGTCTCATCGTCGTCGCCGAGCGAAGGCAGCTGCATCATCTCCTCCTCCTCGTCGCCGCCGAGGAGGAGGAGGAGCTCCAGCCACTGCTCCGGGCACTCCGGCTGCTTCGATGCCCAGGGCGTGAACTTGGAGCTCTCCCTGTCCATCTGCTGATCGTAGACGACTGCGTGAAATTTTGTACATCGATCGATCGATCTGTCTGTCACTCGTTTGGTTCATGGTGCTAGGATGATTAGCCAATGGCAGGTGGTTAGGTTAGGATTAGGAGTTCAATGACGTTTTAGAGTTAGCAGGTTACCAAGTTGCAAAGCTATCTAGCTCCCCGCTTTCAGAGTATCACGGTCGCACTGTTGCTTTCGGCCTTGGGCCAGCAAAGAAGAGGGGGGGAAGGCGAGCGAGGGAGATTCTTGCTTGGCCTCTGCACCCTTTCCTTTGCCTGAAACTGTTCGATCGTGTCACATGTAGCTCTCCGGAGTAGGGAGGGAGGGGAGATGCGCAGTATTCCCTTGCAGGTCAAAAAAGGGGGTGCAAAAGCGTGCTGATGCCATGCCATGATGTTGTTTCTACTTCTACGTAGTGACCATGACGGCTCCTGCAGGCTGCAGCTGCTACGAGAATACCCTGAACAAAGCAAAGGAGATTCTCTTTTCCCAAAAATCGCCACTGCATTTCTCGCTAGGGATCGAGCATCGTCCAGAGAATATATGTAGGTGGTGTGCTTGTAGGAGGCTACATCACCTCCTTGCTTGCTGGCGCGTCCTCCATAGGCAGCCGCATGCAGCACAGAGGCAGTGAGCCTGCTCGGTGCAAGCCGGTGTCCGGCAAGAAAATGCCATGATCACCCCTAGTCCTAGTACAGAACCCACCTGCTTCGTGCAAGCCGGTCTCCAGCCGAAAAATGTCATGATCACTCCTGCTGCCGTATACAGTGCTAGTGCAAAACTGAACATGGCGAAGGGGCAGCAGGTGCAGGAATGACGAAGACGAACACGATTTCACCAGGCTTCACTTAACACCAGCTCACTTGCCCTGAAAAACCTCATTAGAGCAGAGCCAAAGAACCAGATACTAATAACAGTACCATGATTAAAGAAAGGAAGAGTCAAAAGATGTACTACCTCCCTCTCAAAATAAATGACTCAACTTTATACTAACTTTAGTACAAAGTTAGTACAAAGTCGAGTCATTTATTTTAAGGCGGAGGGAGTAGTATAAAGACCGAGCAAGCACCGTGTGTGCCGGGTTCGTTGATCGTACATGGAATTACGAAAAGGGAGTACTCTACTCCAGTAGCATGGCAATACGGACCACCTGTCTTCTTCTGGTCAAAAGATTAGATCAAACTGACCTGTGGTACATAGCGTAGAAAGAAGGAACTTCACTTGTTCATTTTGTAACCCTAGCGCCTGGACTCCTCCCGTGACGCCCCTGCGCGGCGACCGGGGGAACCCTAGCGCCGTCACATCCTCTTCCCTTTCCCGACCTCTCCTCCTCGTCGCCATCGGGGCGCGCCACCGGGCAAAGCCTGGTCGGCGTCGGCGGCACCGGGATCTTTTCTCCCACGACTCACTGGATCTGGCGCAGGCGGATCACGGCGGTTTTTGGCGGGGTGCGCTGACGCGGGCTTGGGAGCGACGGCAGGACTCACGCTCGCGGTTTTCTCTGGTGTACGTGGGAGTCCGCTCGGGTGCGCGGCGGCGGCCCTCGGCAATCGGTGGCTGGCGCTGGGCTCTCGGCGGCGCTCCGGCGTGTGCAGGCGGCGGTGGTCCCTGTGCGCGGACGGCGACTCCGTCTCTAACCCGGACGGTGCGGGGGATGACGGCGGCCCGGTGTGGCAGGCGATATGGATGCGGTGGTGCTGATGGCTCGCTAATCTGCCGGTGCTCCAGGGTTCTGCCTGGTGGTGCTGGTGGTGACTGCGGCCCGTGCACGAGAGTTGGATCCCTTCGAACTGATCTGGATGAAAACTTGCCTTCGGCGTCTGCTAAGACCGGCGGTGGCAGCGCTACCCGCGTCGTTCCCTTCTTGAAGGCATCACCATGGAGAAGTTCAAGGTCACTCTCTGCTACCTCCGGGGGAAACTCTAGATCTGATGATCGGATGACGGCGACGCTCTGGTGTCGTTTCTCCCTTAGGGGCGTCATTTTTGGAGGTACACACCTGATCGAGGGTCTAGAGGACGGATTCTTTGGTGGAGCGGTGATTCATCCTACACACTGATGGCGACGGATCTTGATGACGTGGCGCAGCGCAGATTCGGAGTTCGCTGTGGAAGGATGGACTCACGCGGGAGGACGACGCTGTCCGGCGTCGTGGTGACGTCGATGGCAGATAGACTTGGCACGGTACATGCAACAGTACAACTCTAAAGATGGATTGGTGGCAGGTGCCTGCGGTGACCTCATACCTGGCAGGCGTCTTGGTTGAGAAGTGCGTCGGACTGATAGGTGCCCCATACTCGGCAGACGTTCTGGTTGGGACCTCAGGTCTTAGATGTTTAGATTTGGCTGCGATGTCTGTGCGATATTAGACCCAGACTATCTGCGCCCCTCATCAATTGGATAGGTGTAGCGACAGTTGTTGCTTAAACGGTGACTTTAGTCTTAATGTTGTATGATTTTGTAAGGTCTTGTGAGAATAATTAATAAAGTGACAGTATGCATTGTCCAGATGCAAAGGCCGAGGGGTTATCCTCTTTTTTTTTAAAAACATAGCGTAGAAAAAAAGTTTATGGATGAGTGCTGCTGGCCAGTGAGCAGTACTACCAGACTAGTCGACGTGGAAATTCAGAGGGTGACAGCGATATTTGGTGAAAGACGAGAGCCATTTCAACTTTCCCAAGATTATGAAACTGGCAACGTTCAGCCCAGTACAAACCATCACCATGATGGACCAGGCCAGCCAGTGTGTGGTACGCTTGCGTTCGCAGTGGTGGAGAAAGAAGCTCCGCACAGGCTTCTGCTGCCGCCTCTCGATCATTCCGTATCGTGCATGCCATTGCCATCGCTTTGCGAACTGGCCATTATAGGCTGTAAAGCTCTGGGCTCGGGTCCAGCGGCATCATGGCCTCCTGGGCTTTGACATTGAAGGGCACTGAAAAGGTGGCAAAGGAGCTAGACTCCAAGAACCGGAGAAATCATGGGGTTCGAGGGACGAATGAGTGGCCTTCGCAAAGGGATTCTGTTTCGCCCGTCTGTTGGCACTCGCTAGTGGCTGGGCAATCATAACGGTTGGGTGTGTTTGTCCTTCAGAGCTGATCGGCAACCAAAATGTCATTGCCTCGCCGTTGCTTCTGTGATCAGACGTGTGTGTGTGCGAAAAAGAATGCTCAGTGTGTTGAGGGTTTGCAGTGCGCATTAAACGGTGCCTTCTGAATATATCTGATCAAACTTCATACAGCTATCATCATGATGGACTTTGTTTTCCTCCGGGTGCAGGGTTCTTGGCTCTTCTCTTTGGATTCTCCACTGACCAGTTCACCGACCTGCAAACTTTGCAATGCTGAAAACTCGTTACTGCAAAGCTGGAGCAAGGTACTAACATGAACACACACACACCCCTTGACACTGGGTTTGGGTCCTTCTCCACGCCAAGCAATCATGGAGAATCCAGCCAAGAGGATGAAAAAAACCGAGACTCGACGGCCTCATCTCGTCGGACAAGATCACTCTGCACCCTGCAGCTCTACGACGGAACCGCAAAGCCCAAGGTGTCCGCACGCGCGCGCGCGCTGATGGAATGGTGATGGACGGGACGGGCTGACGAGGACGAGGCGGCCGGGGAGGAAGCCGGCACGACGTGGTTCGTGTGATCGTGTCGTACTGGCGGGGGTCGCATCGCGCCGGCGCGTGCCGATGATGGATCATGATCACCGCTTGGACGGCGGCGCCGCTACGTTTCGCTGCGTTCATCGGGTGGGGGTGGGGCGGTCGCCGTCGCGGTTCGGCCCCAGCCAGCTCACGCGAAACCGGATTTGGGACGGGAGAGGCAGTCGCGCAAAATGATTTAAATGCAAGACGTGCATCGCGATCCCGCAAAACGTGTTTGCAGTTCGCGCAAAAACGTCTTTGCAGACCGTCGCGAACGGCCACAGTTGCAGACCCTATATAATGGAGCCGTAAAAAAGATATTTTTGGAGTATCCTTTTTTCGGGTCGGCTTTGCGGCATTTGATCTGGCGCAGCTTCTCCCAGCCCGCAAAATTTAGATTTGCAACTTAAATTGATGTAGCATAATGCATTTCTTTACTTTTGCAACGACATTAGATACAAAAGACATCACCAAATCTTTGCTAGAATTGCAAAACCAAAGAAAACAAGAACTACAAGTATGCATTTCAGAAGATTTCCAACTTCCATAACCGCTTTCACAAAAGTTGGACTAATATTTTCTCCATGCATTCATTGTTGATCTGCGGATTCTTGATTTTGCATTCTTCTTTCTTCATTTTTGGTTCGAAAGAAGTAGACGTTGCTTCCCCTCTAGTTGCACATGCAGCCGCATCATTGCTTTCGATTATACTAAGGAGTGCACTAGCATCTATTAAGTTTCTTTCTATCAACAAATCAATGTATTGGCCTTCCCAAAACCAAAATGAGCATCCATCGTCTTACACAAAAGAATGAGTAACCTTGAAGTGAGCTACCGCAATTGAACTAAAGAATGAGCTATGAAATGAGCTACCGCAAGTGCACGTACCCCGTCGTTTTCGCATTTGAAGAACACCCATCTGGGGTGCTTCGCGTTCCCGAAATGAGCCGCAGCACTTTCCACGTGCAGTCGTCACACTCTATGAGCGGCATCGGCAAGCCACAAAGACACTTCGCGAGCGCGGAGCCCAGTGGACGGCCGGACGAATCCATGCCCGCAAACTTTCGGCAGCGGCGGGCGGACGAACCGATACCTGCATGCGGCGTTGCGGCCTTGCCTGGGCTGCGGGAGAGGCTCCCCGACCACTCCATCGCTTGGGGCAGCAACTGACGGCCGAAAAAAGCCAAATCCGGCGGCCCGCGATGAAGCGCCGCAAATCTACAAATCCGGCGGCCGGCCGACGCAGGGGGGAAGGGAGGGGAGGCCTCGTGCGCCGCCTTCTGGCGTGCTCCTGCCGGCTGCTTTCGTCGGAATCTTGGGCGGCGGCCGGCGGCGGCGCGAGGG